CTGTGGATACACATTTCTGCTGTTATAATTACACGATCAAAAAGTCAAAAAAGGTGAATAGACATTTCTGTTGTTACAATTACACGATCAAAAAGTCAAAAAAAGGTGAATAGACATTTCTGCTGTTATAATTAAACGATCAAAAAGTAGGGGGGGGGGGGGGGGGGGGGGGGGGTTGTAACGATATTCTGAAGTGAGAATCTATGCATTCTTTAAGCGAACTGTACGATGTGAACTGGGGATAAACACTGATGATTGATAATTAAATTTGAACTAAACCTATCTATACTGACTGACTATCTATACTGACTGACTGACTGACTAGCTAACTGACTTACTGACAGAGCGACCGACCGACCAACCTACCAAAAGGAAAAATCGTATCATCATTCAGTACAACCCATATGCACAAGCTGCGATTACATCTAGGCTGGAAATGATTCATCGGCGCGTTTGATTTCATCAGAGTATTTCATTGTCAACGAACCACAGGTCAAGCCTCCGGGGAAATTCATTTCAACAGGGAACATCCCGAACTTTTTTTTTCCAGTCACATGTCAACGTTGTTGGAAGTGTACGAACCGAGACACAAATGACCTTGTTTCAGACGAATAAGCACGAAAAGTGACATATTTTATTCTCTCTTTCATTGTCGAACACACTGTGAGACAGTGTGTGTATGTGTATGTATGTGTGTGAGAGACAGGACAAAATAGAATTTGAGAAAGAGGACACAAGGAAGATGGAGGGAGGGAGAGGGAGAGAGAGATAGAGAGATAGAGAAGGGGAGAGAGAGAGAAGGGAGAGAGAGATAGAGAAGGGAAGAGAGAGAGATGGAGAAGGGGAGAAAGAGACAGATAGAGAGATAGAGAAGGGGAGAGAGAGATAGAGAAGGGGGGAGAGAGAGAGAAAGAGAAGGGGAGAGAAAGATAGAGAAGGGGGAGAGAGAGATAGAGAAGGGGAGAGAGAGATAGAGAAGGGGGAGAGAGAGATAGAGGAGAGATAGAGAGAGATAGAGAAGGGGAGAGAGATAGAGAAGGGGAGAGAGAGATAGAGAAGGGGAGAGAGAGAGAGATAGAAAACGGGAGAGAGAGAGAGATAGAGAAGGGGAGAGAGATAGAGAAAGGGAGAGAGAGAGATAGAGAAGGGAAGAGAGAGAGAGATAGAGAGAAGAGGAGAGAGAGACAGAGAAGGGTAGAGAGAGAGATAGAGAAGGGGAGAAAGAGAGATAGAGAAGGGGAGAGAGAGATAGAGAAGGAGAGAGAGAGAAAGAGAGATCGAGAAGGGGATAGAGAGAGAGAGAAGGGGAGAGGGAGAGAGAGAGAGAACGGGAGAGGGAGAGAGATAGAGAAGGGGAGAGAGAGAGAAAGAGAGAGATAGAGAAGGAAAGAGAGAGAGATAGAGAAGGGGAGAGAGAGATAGAGAAGGGAGAGAGAGATAGAAAAGGGGGGGGGGAGAGAGATAGAGAAGGGGTGAGAGAGAGAGAGAGAGAGAGAGAGAGAGAGAGAGAGAGAGAGAGAGAGAGAGAGAGAGAGAGAGAGAGAGCTGGGTAGTCTCTAGAAATGGTGTCCGCCTCGAGTGATAGAGTTTCCGGGTTCAATCACCGGTAAGGGCTGGGAGTTTTTCACGTGGACTACTTCTAGTAATTTCCCCTGGTCTCTGGAAAGTAAAATCGGGCGCTCGTTTGACATTTTGACAACGTAGAAAATCCATTGGCAGTTGGAAATCGAAAAGAGTAACCTAGCAATGCTGCTAGGGCAAAATTTGGAGATACAAATCTACCCAAAGTATTTCAGGATCCTCTCCGGTGCTACAGAGCCTGTACACTGTGATTAGCTTTTCTTGACTAATACTCGAGTTAAAAGAAGAACGAAGCACTTATGGGTTTCTACCCGTGTGCCATGATGTTGATAAGTTGTTCAAAACTCAAACAATGCAAATATAACTGAATAGTCATATATTGTTTTTCCTCATTCCTTTATTCTTTTCTAAAAATGCATTCTTTCATTCATTCACCCACCCGTCCATATATTCATCCTCCGGTTTCTTCATTCAATCATTCATTCATTCAGTTTTGATTCTTCGGGGTTTTCTCCCTTCACACGCAAGGATGTCCAGAAATATCAATACAAAATTCAGGCCAATTACTATTCATATTTCCCGATCTAAATCTCACTAACCCAATTCTGTGCAAGCGGTTCCTCGTGCACCATTAACCCGCCGCTCCTCCCCCTCACCCTTTTTTCGTTTCCTCTGACATAATTACTTGTCTGACTCCATATGCGGCGTCCATGGCTTAGGAGTTGCGAGTCCGGCTCGTAATTTCAACGTACCGCGATCGAAACCCACTGCTGACTGCGTGGATTTTTATAATGGTATGGGGCGTCGAAGGTCGACCCAGCCTAAAATGGGTACAAGGATGGCTGTCCTGGGTAAGTAAAGACGGCCGGCTCAATGCTGACCACATTAAACTAACAAGTGCCGATGGTCTGTAAAAATATTGGCGATCTTCATATACACCCGATACGCCTAAAAGGTGTGAAAAGGGATCTTTACTTTACTTACTTATGTCTCCCATATAATCTGTGGTCCGTCTACGTGATATTCAACGACTGACTGCTACACTATGTATTTTCTCTCCTCATATGGACACATGTCTGAATTATCTCTTTCTCACTTGGAAAAGAATGTATTTGTGGGTTCCCATATTTCAGAACAACACACACTTCTTGATGAATTACCTGCCCGGTTGGCTCCTACCAACTCAGCTTAAACTGTTAGATGGAGATGTCGTAGAAAGCGAATGTGGTCAGCGTTCTTCTGACCACATCACGCATCTTTTACTGGGCTCTGGGCTCTGGGCTCTTTCCTCCCCCTCTTTCCTTCCCCCCTTTTTTTCTGCCCCCCTCTTCCCCCCCTTTTCTCCCCCCTCTTTTCTTCCCCTCCCTCTTTTCTTCCCCTCCCTCTTTTCTTCCCCCCTTTTTTCTTTCTCCCTCTTTTCTTTTTCCCTGCTTGCTGCTGCTTGCTGCTGCTTGCTGCTATTGCTCTCCTTCTTCTTCTTCTTCTTCTTCTTCTTCTTCTTCTTCTTCTTCTTCTTCTTCTTCTTCTTCTTCTTCTTCTTCTTCTTCTTCTTCTTCTTCTTTTTTCTTCTTCCTCTTCCTCTTCTTCTCATCGACTGTAATATCTTGCGGAACTTATGGTTGTTTGTCGACGCCTGGACATTGGTCTTGATCCAGAACTTGAGTTTTGCGTGCATATCTGTTTTACAGACGTGGCTTACCTTTATGAAGACTATTGATGCTTTGCCTCTCAGGCAGATATACTCCAAATTTTAAGAAAAGACCCCCAATTAATCGCCTTCTATGACATGCTTGTTAAAGGGGTGATGGGCAGTGGGTCTATTCTTTGCTAAGCCCAGGAACTCACTGCTGTGATGAAATGTTTTGTTACTAATGAACTCATGTGACAAAAAGGCGTGTGCTTATTTTAGAGAGGGGCACATAAAACAATAGTTTGAGAACCCCTGCTACAGACCGTCTGGTTTCCCTGAATGGGAATGTGTCTGTCAATAATAATAGTAATTACCCTCTATTACTTGTGTTCTGGAGAACCAGACTTCATTGTTAGGTCTGGCAATTAAAAGAGAGGAATGGGCGGAGAAAGAAAGTGAGGAAGAGAGAGAGAAGTACTGTGGGAAAGGATGGCACAGAAAGAGAGAGAGAGGGAGAGAGAGAGAGAGAGAGAGAGAGAGAGAGAGAGAGAGAGAGAGAGAGAGAGAGAGAGAGAGAGAGAGAGAGAGAGAGAGAGAGAGCAAAAAAGGGAATGTATCAGAAAAGGAAATTTTATGGGGGATATGGTATATCTTAAATATTAAAAGATTTTTTTTTTTAGTTAGTTAGTCGACGTTCTAACTAGTCGACGTTCCAACTTAACTGCAGACAAGTTGCTTCATAATTACTCGGTTGCCGCGACGGTGAAAATTACACAGCATGTCATTCACGGTCCTATTTGAAAATTAATGACATGTCAGTCCCAGCTAAATTTTGAAGCTCGCACACGGAAAACAAATGCATAAGGCAGCTATCAAATGTGCTAGGAGCGAGTGGAAAACCTCAGAAAAGTTTAGTGATGGCATTAAGAATAGCCTTACAGAAATAAACATGTTTTAATAGTGCTCTTGACTTAGCTCATCAACAAATGTTACATCTCCCCACGACACTTCGCTAAAGTACAAGATGCAAGAGAAGAATAAGAATTAAGAGTCCCAAACCAGTATCGCATCTCATTGTTGATGGAGAAAGTCAGAGACGAAATAACACACTATTTTCACGTAATACTGAAGAAACATGATGTGATGTTTACAGCGGCAGTAATGACTAAACTAACGTAAAAGAAACTGAGATGCAGAAAATGAAATTAAAGGAATAGCTAGAGAAAAATCAAACAAACAGAAACATATAAGTACTTGGGTGCAAACTTCAACTCCTCCAACATGTTGAGAGAAGAAATACTATCTAGAATACAATCTGGAAATAAAGTATACTATGCCCGTCAACATCTGCTAAAGTCAAAGTCTCTATCTCCCAACAGCAAGATCAAAACTTTGATAAGACCAGTCGTTTTATATGGCGCTGAATCTTGGAGCACAGCTGAAAGAGAGAAGCCTTATTACAGGTTTTTGAAAACAGAGATTTACGAAGCATATTTTGACTTATCAAAGATGTAAACAGAAGGGGGTGGAGAGTGAGAGGTACAACAATATTCATGATTTGTTTAAAACACTATTGATAACATGAGAGCTACAAGGTTGAAATGGTTAGGGCATAGTGAGAGAATGTCAGGCGACAGAGAGGAAAAAACAGAAGGCTAATGTCTAATTACTATGCTGCCTTTAAGTAATAAGTGCATATATATATGTAGACTTGTGCCAGGATTTAGACTTGACGAAGCCCTGAGATTTATAAACCCCTGAGGCCCCTACTGTTCAAAATGACACAAGC